CTTCTTAAGGGCCGTTCAGACTTCCACCAGAGAAAAGTGACTGCAAAACCACGGCCTGGAAGGAGTCAGTCTCTGGAGATGCCTCTTTGCATCAATAAACTATACAGAAAGTAAAGGACAAGCAGGATTAATGATTCTAACAAGCGAGTCAGATTAGTCTACCCTTCTACTACTAAGATTTTGTTTGTTGAAAGTATATCAAATAATAAAAATCTGACAGTTATTTTTAGAAGAATACATAATTTTAAACATTATTTTGATTACTCAGTACATATACTGTTATCCTTAAGAGCACATTTTTGAAAACATTACTGTCTCCCTTTGCATGTCTTTGGAGCATCCCTTCTATACAGTTCTGGATTGAGGATTTGAAAAAAACCATCTCTAAACACTGTTCTCTGAACTTTCGGTACTTTTAGCCAAGGTTTTCAGCACATTAAAAAGATTGCTGAGAATTTTAAAAATAAAAAAAATAGAAAGAAAGAATATTTTGGCTACAATTATGACTTGCACTGCAAAACTGCAAATTAAAATACAGCATCCGTCTCATGCTTTGTAGAAAGCTCTGCAATACACATTTGCACTGCCCACAAGCTTGCTTGCTTTAACAGCGACACAAAAATGCTGCTTATATTATGACCACGTAGGTAGCGTTTGATGCCCAGCGATACGTACACATTTACACAGATGAATGGATGCAGTACGCAAGCTTTTGCTAACGAGCGGCAAACGTTCTCCTCTCAAATATTACCACGTATTCTATTCCCTCGGCTAAAGCTCTGAAGCAGCACTACAGGATATGCAGATTTATTAGTGCAAGCATGCCCTGTTTACAAGCTGTAAGTGCAAATCACTTACATTGCTGATAGATTTATGCAAAGCTTCACCGAGACAGTGCCGCTATGAAGAAAAGATCACAGGAATAAAGGGAAACATTCAGAAATCAACTACGTAAAAGAAAAAGGGGTGAGGAAGGGAGAGTAAAACATAGAACATTAATTATAATTTGATCAGGGAAAAAGAAATTGAAAACTATCTGGAAAAAAATATGAATACGTTGCCTTGACTTAGTATATAAACAACTGAACACAGAACAGAATGATGTGTTTTCCTGTGTTATGTATTTGAAGCATACAGGATAGCGTTATCTCTTCAACGTAATGTTACTATATACTCATATATTACACAATTGAACACTTTTGAAATTATCCAACTGTTTTCTCCTCTCCTTTATGGCAAATAATGTTGGGAAGAAATCATTAAGTACACCAATTGGCATTACTATTAGAAAAGATGTTACAGAAGGACTCAATCAGCAGTCAGCCACGTCTCTGAAATATCACAAGCATATTAAAGACATTAATATTAAAGATCAAATGTCACAGCTAAAGGGCAGAAAATGAATTTAGTCTGTAATGAAGATAGATTTATATTAAGATACTTCTTTTATGTTTCTTAAAATTCAGAACGAGATACGTACATAAAACAAGACGGGTACTTTCTTCCTGAAAGTCTCCAGCAAAAAAAAAATGACTTAACATACCACTTATACTAGTGTTGATTGCTAATGAAAAGCAAAAGATGAAAAAATATTGCCAAGTAAATGTTCTATATGAAATATTATTGATCATACAAATCATATACATCATTCATATATATATATAAAAATGTCTGTTTACATATATATGAATGGTGTAGGTAGGCGCACACAGACGTCATCAGAACTGAAGTGAGAGCAATTTCAAATCCAGCACGACCAATTTCCCCTTGGGCAGAGGTCAGTCAAGAAGATGGCTTTCTCCAGGAGACCGCAGGTATTTTGACACCAGCTCGGAAGCCTGTAGTTGGGAACTTTTAGATAATACGTCAAAATACAAAAAGAAGAAATCATTATTTGTTCTCCTGAATCTACAAAACGGCACGACATAAAAATACATTATTGTGGGATATCCCAAATTATCTTATTACAATTGTAAGAGAGTTACAAGCAACAATTTTGTATGCAAGGGCATGACACTGGGAGCCATCATACTCCAGCCGACAAGACACCAGACCGGCATCGAACAGCTCCGGTTCCAACACCGGGTTGTGACAGTGCGATCTGCACAAATCCCACCTGTTTTTTCTGTGCTTCCTTTCCCA